AACGAAGCAAAAGTATGGCGTGGATAACAAGCGACCCTCTGCCGGTATCAGCTGCTGGCCCAAAACGCTTCTGGCAGGACTCGCCTGCCTGCCTCTGCCCCTGGCCCAAGGGCCCCCTCGGGCCGAGCGTGGAATTGATGCACGAAATGACTAGCTGAAAGGTCCCGATTGAAAGCTGTACATGTGGGCCTTCTGGAATCAACCGGTCAATGGGGAGGAGTTCCAACCGGACCAAATCCCTCCGTCCGCAATCGCACGCTCGGCTCTTGTGAGACAATGGTGAAACATGATAAGAGCAGGAAGCACGCGCCGCAGGAAGCACGCGTGGCAGAAAGCATGCGGGACACAAACCGCACAACTCGACAAGAGGTTCGAGGTCCGCATCCGCAAAGGTCAGCGCTATCCAAATCAGAATCATCGAAACGCAGCGCCTGAACAGATGTTCCCCTATATGTCCAACCTAAAAGCATTACCCCTATCAAGGGAAGCTTACCTAAGAGCGAAAAACAAAAACACGGGTAATGTGAAACGCTCTTTGCTTTCCGCCTGCGCCGCTCGCCCTTTTAGCATCCCCGGGCTTCAACTGCCGTCGATTCTTTTGTGCGCAGAAGTGGCGTAGGCAGCCCCTGCGTGAGCAGCAGGTACGCGGCTGGTTTTGGTTGGGCTTTGGGTAGCCCATGCTGTCCGGAAATTGGGACGCCTTGTTGGTTGGTTGAAGACAAAGAAAGGAACAGGCACACAGAAATCGCAGCAAATTATACGGGTCATATTCAGTGGATCAACCGGTCTTTGGGGATGGCCCCGGACGCGAGGCCATGGAGTACCTTTCCATGGCATGTGCCAAACGGGGGGACCCAACAGAATGGTTGTCCTTGCGATTTCCCCAAGGTCGAATGCCCCAAAGCATTCAGATCCAAATCACCAATGAGTCAAGGGAGTTGCAGGCAATACCTACATACAGCCCTTAAGTCCAAATCCCGCGCAATGGGGGGGAGGGGACTGGCCCTTGGAGTACGACAAAAGACCCTCGCAGGCTCAGCTAAGGAGATATGATCGAACCGTCCCTGATTTGCTGTTTAATGGCAACCTAACACTAGCAGCAGGATCCTTTCTTCAAACAAAAAAACAACACATTGCAACTCGTGCTGTTAAGACAGGCCGTCAGGCGAGAGGAACGCCACTCCTGCGGTCCAAACAAAATATGTAAACAAATGGTTCGTATTCAACTTGCTCCGCAACTGCTGAATACCTATCCACGTAGGCAGTGTCGTTCAGGGTTCCAATTAGATTTTCCCCTGGCCCTGCCCAACCAAAACTTACTCAATGCTGGCAACCGAAAGGTGACACTTGGCCCCAGCAAAATATTAAAACGGACAGGACTGTCGGGCAAGGGTATGACAAATCCAACAATCGACCCCAAGGATTGCTGTCATGGTGATCCGCTTCTGGAACTGTCGGAATCAGTTTGCTTCAGGTGCCAAATCTTGGACGGAAGCGGACTGCGTTTGGGACATGGAGGTGGACGAAAATGCTGTAAAGAACACGAGTGTCCCCAAAAGGGGCCGTATTCTTGGCATCCGCATGAGGGTATTGAAGCATGTCCCACATTCTTGTCCCCAACTGGACGGCATTTGAGGCTTGTCCCCAGTTTGAGTTGGCTGAAAACGAAACCAATAGGAATCCCGTGTTTGGAGTCCCCCTTTTTTGACACTGACTCATTTTCCGATTGTTTCGGGGGGCGTGTGTCCCACGTCATCCTCTTCATGACGGTGAATGATCCCTCATGCGCACCTGGATTGGTTACTTGGCGCATATTGATTGGCGTGCTCTAGGCGTTCCTTCACAGTTAGTCACCAGCAAAACGCACGGCCCTACAGATCCCTCGAGTTGCTGCACTCGCTTCCCGCAACCACCTGTCTCATTGAAAACATGCATCCGGGTCGACATGAGCATAAAAAAGATGACCCAACATGAATAGGTTCGCAAAGGTATGTGTTGGCTCAAACAGAACAGTCATGGTTCCAAAATCGGGCACCCTCTTTGTACGCGGCTTCCTTTGGTTTCCTTTCAAAACCAACAAAAAGACACTCAGCTGAAAGCTGGTTTCAGCCAGCTGTACAAAGAAGCTGACACAACAGTGCCATGCAACATGTGCGATGTCAGGAGTTGCCTAGTCAGGTCTCAAGCACTGTAAATTGGCAAAATTTGCTTCGCACCAGTCACCCAGGTAGCTGGTTTGTTTGTCCCAATATTCCAATCGGGTTCATCCAAATTGGTGCAAACATTCTGTCCATCCACTGGCGCTTCCTGTGCTAAACTCAACTTGCGTGGCATACAATTATGTGGTTGTGCGGCCCAAGAATGAATGCCCACCGGTACCTGCCACAGAAACTGAGGGCTGAGGCAACTATGGATCTGCCCAAATTACCAAGAATCCCCCAGTAGCAACCAAAACGAACATTGCCGGCTCATGGACCACAGCCAGACCCCCCCCCAACTGTTGGGCTACCTTAAATAAGCTCAGGTGATATCCCTAACAGCATGCGGTGCTCTTTTTAGTGCTCGCACCACCCCGCAGCCCTTGCAGAACCTCGTGGAACCCTCGGTGGAGCCCTGGTGGAACTCTCGTGGAACTTTCGTGGAACCTTGGTGGAACCCTGGTGGAACCTTCGTGGAACCTTACCTCAGGCCCGCCCCGGACCACCCCGGAGCCTATCTGGGCTGGAACCCAAAGCTTTCAGCTGTTGGGGAAAAACATATTCCTCCAAAAATCGGTGCTTCTTACTTGAAGCCCAATTTCCCATGCCGCAAAACAAATAAAAGAGGAAAGCTCCCAAACGCCGAAGAGGAGTGTTTTTCAGCGCATGAACTCCCCAGCAGGTGAAACGGACCCTGCCTGTCCGACTGTCCGGATCGCATCTCAGCGCCGGGAACCTGGCATTGCAGATCGAGATCGATGCAGCGAGCCTCTGTTGTGGGCCTGTCTCGGTCCATCGGTTGCTTGGGGACTGTGGTTCAGGGGATTGTTCTTTTGACAGGGTCCCAGTCGGATAGGCTGTCACATAGCTCTCATATGGCACCACTCAGGACCGTGGAAGGCAAATCACAGCAGCAACTCATCTACGTGAAAACAGAAACAGACCACCCTTGCTGCGCCTGCTCACGGCTGTACACCTGCCTCCAAACGATTGAGTGCGCCCGTCCTATTTCTGTTCACCTGCGACTTGGTTCGACACGATGTGCAGCACCCCTATGGATGATTCCTGGGCCTTGGTCTTCCAAGCTTCTTGATTTTGCCTCTTGGTTGGACAAGGAAAAACCATTTTCTTGGAAGGGTTGGAGCTGGCGGTGCCCCGTTTGTAGGCGCAAGGGTCCGCAAGGGTAGGCGCTGGACTCCGAACGGTGGATGTTCGCGCCGAGTGCCGGTGTCTGGCTCCGCGCAACACCCAGCCCGAAACATGACGTCGGCATGAACGAACGGTGCATAGTGGGCCTTCAGACCAACCACCACTATTTACAAAAAAGAATCCCCGAAACGGGTGACTTATAGTGGGGAAGGGTTGGAACATGCTTCCCACACTGTGGAGCGCTTGTGGGGTGGAAGGGGACGGCCAACTCCGCCATTTGGGTCCCCAAGTACCAAATCTGCGCACGTGAGTCAAACCAGCTGTGCGAGCCAAAGGCCCAGGCCACCGCACGCCGGGAACTCGGAGGGTGGTGTCATTTAGGTTTGTTCAACGGCTGAAAAGGGCACCTTCAAAAAGGAAACTGCTCCCATTAGACGTGTTCTTCACTTCCTACGTCTGAGGTGTGTGCCCAAAATCCCGTGGTTGGTCTTTAGCCCCATGCTTGAAGTTGCTTTGTTGGCTGACTGGGGAAACCTGCGTCAATTTCCAAAATGGTGTGGCTGTCGTTGCCTCTGTCATTTTCCATTGAGCAGCCAAGCGAAGCTTGAAATGCAGAACTGAGCAATCCAGACGCTAGCTCTCCCATCCGGAAAATCTGATGTAAGGGTCATCCTTTGGGCCCACCGCCCATGACAGAGATGCCACCGATGCCGCGGACATGCAGCTAAAGAATTGTCTCGAACAAGCCTTACTTCCATAGGTGTCCTTTTGGGGAAAGAAATGGCCCCAGTAAATGGTATACAACCAATAAAAACGAGTGCCACCTGTTTTCAACCAAGCTGACCTAAAAAGGACACCTATACTTACTTCCATACCTCAAAGGATTGGCCTCTCAGGGCCATTTCCTCTGACAAGCAACCAAAATTCGAAGCAAGCGGTTGGCCGAAAAAAAGCGCCTGAGCCCTTCTCACCGTTCTTGCCCTGGCTGGAGGCGATGCGAAACGAGACTGGGGCCCTAAAGCTGAGCCAAAAACAGATCCAACTTTGTGAAAGGCTAGGAATGAAGCTTGGAAACTGGGAAGGGAGTCAGTTGAATGTGCATCCTTCCCCTTTGTGCAGGGGTAGGATAACAACAGATTTGGCACCCATAAGATTGTATCTCTGCTACAGGAGAGAGGTTCTTTGAATTGTGCTGACGTAAAATAACTTGCCTGCAACGGCGAACCGAAAAGGAGTCTCAGTCCCAGTAAAGGCCTAACACTGCCGTTGAGGGGTCTTTTCTTAATGGGCTTACGGCCATGGTCGGCGGAAGGCTGACAAAACCGGCCTGCAATCCGATATGCCTCTAGGTCTCGAAGAGGTTATCGTGGATTGCATTACTTGTGCTCTCATTTGATATTGCAACTCAACTTCCGTGTTTGTGACTAATCTTCTCCTGAAACTGCTCAAGGTGGGAGCAAATGAAACCAGGGGCGCTTGTACAGTTCTCAGAAGGAGTGTCTGGTTTTGGCAACCCCGTTTGGTTGGCTTTGAAAGGCAAGCTAAAAATGAACCAGCCGTTTTGGGGGCCCCTCCATCTTGCGACAAACCCAAACTGCGCCCGCCGCAACGCTCTGATGCTTGTTTCCCGCACTCGTTTCAGCCACTCTCGGCTCAGAGCTCAAAGTTCCACTCTGCGAGGCAGTGGGGACAGTGCCCCCGACCTGACATGAATGTTCTGTTTCCCGAGACATGGGGTGCTTCGACCCCCCTGGGTTTTGCGGGAAGGGGACGCATGGCCTTCCCAAAATAACAATAGACTGCCGTCTCTTATCAGTGGCTCAGCTCGGCACAGGGCATCGAACTCCCAAACGGCAGCCATATGGACCTATACAGCCAGCCACTGCCTTCCCTGTCACTTTACAGTCCCAGGGAAGTGGCCTCTCTACCAAGCAAAACCGGCACGCCAACCGGGGCCGGTTTAGCATCCCCAGACCCCGGGCGCCTATCTGCCGTGGCTTTCAGCTGTTGCGGAAAAATATCAAAGTGTACTAGACAACACAGATGGTAATATGTGTATCCGTTGTTGCACATGTTCTTGAGATACATTTAAGTATGTCATTGAGTTTGTACAATATGTTTAACTACATTGTCGCATGCTAACAAGTTAAATGCTTAAGAGCAAGAATCAGATCCCCAAAACAGTGCCTTCATCAGAAAACCGGCACAACCATTCCGACAGCCCCAAGGCGGTTTAAAAAACTTTGATTGTGTTTCTTTCAAAATAATGGAAGAATCATATATCGAACCAAACAAAATAGGGTTCGTTCCAGCAAGCGTGGTCCCATGCCATTGCCAAACCACCAACACAAATGTCAAAAGGAACTAACATTGATACGTAATACTAAGAATACTAATCAAGTTAAGGATATTAATCAAACACTTCAGGCCTGTCTGGGAACCAAGTCGACCCCTTCCTTTCATGGCAGCGCTGCTTTTGGCATCCTTTCCAAAGGGTCTCAGAGCCATTTGTCAACACTAGTTCACACGTGTGTACACCCCCGGGAACAGCTTGTTTGCCAAGTTCTCGTTTCCCACCCAAAAACGGGTACAGCAATGACGGCCGCAATGGAATACGGGGAACTCCTTCGTGCTACACACCTGTGGGGCCGCTTTGCAGGTGACCAGAGGTGAGCCACCGAGAACCTGTCTCATTCGCCAAACCAAACATGGCCGCCTATGCTTGCCCTGTCATTCGGCCTACAAGTACGCAAGAGGCACCCAAAAAGTAGATTCAAAAGGGAAGCAACGCCAGCGAGGGTTCTATCAAGATTGCCCAGTGGGTTGGACCAAAGCAACCACATCAAAAACTGATGAACACACCAAGCCCCAACCCAAACAGCATCCCGGCCCCTTGAACATGGGTGGTTTCATGTGGGTTTTCGAGCGGTCCAAAGCGGGGCTTCTTGATTTTGACACGTGTCCCGTCAAGCTTCTACCAAACAAATGAAGACGGGCTGCGTGTCGACAGCTAAATTGCTGCCAGATACCTTTTGCCATTGCCTGAGCCGAACGGGTCCGGATTGGCATTGCCAGCCCCAAGGCTCAAACCGCATTGGAAAGGGTTCCCCCCCCACCCACCTTTTGGAAGAAACTGGATACCCCGGGCTCGGGGGAGAAGGCGTTTCCAAGCTGAGGACCCCCCAAAGATAGTCCTCGGTTTCCCTTCTTGTTGGATTTTCCTGGAAGGGCCCCAAACGAAAGACACACATTGTCTAATGGGTCCGAGTCCGATGTAGCTCCTTCCCCTTTCCCTTTCTTGTGCTTGGCCCGCCACAGCGCTCACCCTTGTCTTCGCCGCTGCCCCACGTCTCGGCCTGCCCCAACGCAGCCCGGAGAAGCAACGGAACAGAAGACCTGTGCCTCCAGACCTGTGAGCAAAAAGCTGTATGTAAGCTACGTTCACATTGTTCTCAACGTTCGAAGCGTTGGATGTGTCAGCACATGATCTGTGAAACCTCTTCCGCGATTGCTTTGTGTATTTTGTGTTCTGCTATGTTGCCTGTCTGTTGTTCGGGGTGTGTATTTGTGTGTGTGTGTAAGCGTGCCTGTGCTCAAAATATTTGTGGTCTGGCAACTTGCTCCATGTGTGTGTGTGTGTTTGCGGCCTGTTCAAGGTATCATGTGTTGTTTATCGGTTTGTGTCACTTGCTATGTTCTTGGTGATTCGGTGCATGTCTCCGTGCGCGCGAGCTGTTGAAGCTTAGACATTTCGAGCCAAAGCTGCGAACAGTGAACATCGCTGCCTATGTTCGAACTGAAACCATTGTGCTGTTCGAGCCGGAGCCGCGAAAGCGTACCTTGCATACGAGTATTGCTTGCGTACTCCAAGTGTTCAAGCTAGAGTTGTGACAGCGTACTTTGCGCACTAAGTTCAGCTGAAAATTAGTGCCTCAATTGTTGAGCTGCCAAACGGTTTCGTGTTTCGTGTCGTGTCTTCTTTACTATTCAAAACAACACCTGGGTCAGGGCGATTCGAGCCGGAGCAACTTGCTTCCAAGAGGGGGCTGCAAACTACGGACTCACTTCAAAACTTATAGAAACAACAAAAAGAAAGAACAAAACAGCGGTGACATGTGGCCATGGGTCAAAACCCCGTACCCCCAGTGAACATCCCAATCCCCGCAAAAATAGAGTAACATGGGTAGTGCACCTACCCCAAAATGGTACCATTGGTGTCGACCCACAGCCATGTCTGACACACGCGATCCACGCGGAGGGTCGCGCGGGCACGTTGCAAGAGTAGAAAGTGCTCGTGAACGTATCAGACAAAAACAAAGCCTGGCGCTAAAGGACAAAGAAGCAAAGGGGAGCCGCTTCTCTGTTAAGACTGTCCCGTGCTAAGCATGTCGGCATGAAGCTGGCTCTATTTATGTGTGTGCTGCCCATTAATGTCTTTATGCAGATCACTCGGCGTCCGGGATCCGCCCAAAAAACCCAGATAGTTGACCCTAACAGATTGATTCACAGATGCGTTTTCTTAAGTGCAGGACCCCCTCTGTATTCAATCCCTGGTCTGCCTTTTGGCTTCCAGAAGTCCCACAGCGGCCATGAGGAAGCAACCCACCGGGACTTGGGCTCCGCTTTCCAATCCTGTTAGACAAGAGCCAAAAGGAAACGCCGAAACACGCCAAGAACTACCCCCCACATCCCCCCCCACATCCCCCCAGGCATGAATCAAAATGAAGAGAACCAAAAGGCCAAAAGCATCAACTACCCCCCCGCCCATAACAAAAATGAAGAGAACCAAGAACAAAGAACATCCAAAAGCACGTGCCAACCTTCTGGGGGTACCTTCCCCATTCTTTCACAGGGGTCCTTCTCTTCGGGAAACCATCAAAAACCCATGGGGAACGGATCCGGTCTTTGAAAAGAACGATGGCTGAAAAGAATGGAACAACAAATTCAACCCCATAGAACTTTGCTCCCTTAATGAACAAAACCCCCCAAAAAGCCGTCATTCCTCCAGAAAGAAAAAAAAACAAAAAAAACTCCAACCCGTGACCCAGTCGTCCTCGGTCGTCCTCGATCGAGTCCTCAATCCCGGGCCTTGTTGAAGCCCTCGCGGCTGGTGGCAAGGCGCTGGAACCGCACCCCGCTCTTGCCGCACTCCACGCCTTCGAACGAAGTCCGGTGGAAGATGTCGAGTGCCCCAGGCTTGGAGCGCGTAAAAACAAAAAGGCGTAACGTCTGTTCAGAGTGTGGAAGACATCGAAAAACAGGGATGGCTGAATTGATGCTCGAAACGAACGAAAGAACAAACTGGACTGGCTGCTTTCTGTGACACCCAGAGGCTCGTGAAACAACAAACTAATGGTTCACAGACAAAAGTTTGGATGGTGTTTGTGGAAGGCACCAAGCAGGTTTCAACAGCTTTTCGTCTGCTTCATGATGGAAGGCGCCAAAAACAGGCAGCCCCATGTCTGCGACCAAAATCGCCGCGAGGCGGGTCCAACCGACAGGCCGTCAGGCCGCAAGGCGGCGCACAGCCAAAGACATGGCCATGGGTCAAAATCCAAATCGCTTAGCCCCAGTGAAATCGTAGCAGTGAATATCCGATTCAATCCAACCACTAAAATAGGTCCTAACATGGGTGGTGAATTCACCTACCAACCAAAATGGGATCCCATTGGTTATTTTTGACAACCACAGCCACTGTGAACAGGAGATGGACCCCTGTCAACCCTTGTCAGCGACGCAAACCCGGCTCGAATCATAGCCTTGCACAACCCGGGGCCTCAAGATCAGCTGCCATGTGCGATGGTCACTCTGATATTTTGTCAAACTCCAACCCATGGCTTAAAAGTGGGCTTCAAAATGGTATCTTTGGTTGGTATGGGGGCATCCTGTGTCTGTTTGTTTCCAGGAGAAACTCTGCAACTTCAAATCCAAACCACCCAGGGGCAAGGTGAAAACGAATGCATGAAAGTTGCGCTTGCCAACTGATGCAAGGTTAGATGCTGGCGAACTGGTGCAGGCAGCTCAACCCGTCTGAATGTGTAGTGTTGCGCTTTGTTTGACTGGCTTCCTCAATCGAGGTCGAGCGCAGGGAAGGAGGCGGTTGATTGCTTGAATCCCGTCAACGACGAAAACCTCAACGGCAACCATCCCGCCCGTCTGGTTGTGAAGTCTCATTGGCCTAGGTATCAGTGAGTGTTTGGTGCGGATACGCTCAATGCTGGAAATCATGGAAGACACTCCTCCTTTTCCCCTTGTCCACTTATGCAAATGAACCCGAAGATCCCCAACCCATAAGTAATCCCACCCAAGTGATCATTAATCTCACCCGGCCAATCAACCCCGCCATAAGATGCCCCCCACGCCCGGAGCTCAGCCCAGAGCTTGGGCCAAGGGGCAATGAAGGCGCTCATCCACTTCGGTGAACCGCGTCAGCGCCGTGCCGCTCTCCTGTGGGCCGCAGGCCGCGATGAAAGAACACACGGCGAATGGAAGCAAAGCCGGGAAAGGATGTGAAAGGATGGGGAGGGAGGCAAAAGTCCGAGGAAGGGGCGAAGGTAAGATGCAAAGGAAAGGAACAGAGAAAGAGAGAGAGAGAGAGAGAGAACAAAGCACAAGAACGCAGAAGACGAAGATAAAGCGACAAAAAGAGAATGAGAAAGAGAAAACAATGAGAAAGAGAAAGAAAAATGCTCAAGAAAAAAGGGACAGAGAAAGAGAAAGAGAAACAGAATAAGAAAGAGAGAAACAATAGGAAGAGAAAGAGGAAGAGAAAGAGAAGGAAAAAGAAAACAATGCAAAGAAAGTGACAAGGACAGGGACAGGGGACCAGGGCACAGGGCACAGGGCACCAGGGACAGGGGACAGGGACAAGGACAGAGAGAGAGAGGGAGAACCAGCGCGCTGCAGCTCCGACGTCCGAACGAACTTCAATGCACCCTCCAACATGCAGAGCCTGATACTTCTACTGCGACTACCACAGCCACCACTACCGCTGCCCGCGCCACCACCGCCGCCGCCACCGCCGCCACCACCACGACCACGAAGACATATACAAATGCGAGCAACTACAAGTACCAACTCAAACATGTACCACGACATGCGTGGAAAAAGCGCACCTTGAACAGCTAATTACAAACAATGGACACGACAACTACGTCTTGAAAACAAAACAAAAAAAACGCAGATGCAGCTCCAAAAACCTCCTTTGGCCGTTCCCCCCAAACCACTTCTCCCCGGTGCCAGGAAAAGCCCCGCACCGGTCTCGCTCGTTCCGGTCGCCTCCGGGGGCGCCTTCCTGAGCTCCTGGAGCCGCGCCATCTTGGCCGACGGCAGCAGCTCCTCTCCCAGCCGTCCCGTGTCGCCGTTTCGTGTCGCCCGTTTCGTTCCCGTGCCATGGCCAACAGATGGAGGATTTGAGGATTTAGCTTTGCGTGCAACAGAGTGGCCAAAAACACACCAGCAGTGACTAAAAAAACACTCCGACGCATGCCGACAATTTGGGACAGGGCCTTGGTTGAACAGGGTTCCTTACATTATACACCTGAACATTGCCTTGTAAATGGTGGTGTCCCTTTATTTTGGTGTTGAAAAAGCCATGTTTCAAATGGTTGAAACATGTATCTTTTAGGGAGCCCTGAGATGGAGGAAATGTTTGCGTGCAACAAATTTGGCATGCCTGCTGGACCCCCAAAGAAGAACTGTTTGGATGTCCATGAAATTTAGACCTTCCCCGAACCTCACAGAAAGGTCCTCCGACTGGCAATTGAAGGGGGCCCCCGCTCAGTTTTCGCCGCAAGGATCGAAACGCGTTTCCAGGATTGGGTGGCTCAAAGCCAATCCACTTGGGCCTGTCCAAACCCTGTCGACGTTGAAGGGGTTACCAATACTGCCATGGAATCATGTCCCAAGGCTTTGGACTTGGGTCCAGGTCAGAAAAATGCCAAGGCCCAAGCCCGCGACATCGAATTCACCGTGGCCTCAGGCGCAGCCCGCACGAGCCTCAGCTTTTGTGGATGTGTGTCTTATATTTTTCCCAGCGCTGAGTAAAGGCCCCAAAAAGGGAAATGTGGATGGATGTGGATGGTAAAGCGAAACCCAAAACAAAAGCCAACCATTGTGGGCCAGCACTTTGAGCCGAATGAGTGCCCCACACACACACAAACACACGCACAAACTGAATCTCTCGTGAATCACCTTCAGATTGGTGGCTTTGGTTTGAACCTGCCCCAAAAAAAGGAGTCCAACCAATTTTGAGTTGCCGGACCATTCCCCGACAAACCCTCATCAGGGTTGATGGAAGCGAGACTCATCAATGGCTCGATGAGCAGCGCAAACGCCTCCCAAAGAAAGCCCTTAAGTGCTTGATCATGGCTTGAACGGCCGAAAGGCCAAACAAGGCCAATTGAGGTCGTGACGTTGGCAAGACAGGGAAAGCAAGCTCAGCCCATGTTTGCAGATGTCAACAGTAACCCCTTCCAAAAGACGGGAAACGGAACCCAATGCGGGAAACTGGGTAGATGTTTGATAAATCTGGCGACTCATCGCAGCTTCGGTCCCACGAGAGGGAGGTTTCAAGGTCAAATCGATCAGCTCTTTGCACAGGTCTTCCTCTGTGCCCGCAAAGTCAACAACGTTCCTAGAGGAAACTTTTATTTGGGCCCACATAGGTGTTGGCTGGAACAGTTGGCATGCAGAAGGCCCCAATCTCCAAACCAGTTGGGTGTCCATAACTAGGGTCTCACAATGCACTCAGAACTGTCATGCCATTCAAGCTGACACCCGTTTGGTAGAACCCCTCCAGGGTCTGTGGATGACAGTTCTGTTTGTGCACGCTAGCTCACATGTTGACACCAGCAGTTAAAACAATGGCCCACCAAAGGAATGAAATTACACAAGTATGCCAAACATCGTGTGTAGTATCAAAGTGGTGTGTTTTAAAAAGCAAAGCAAAGCGCAGGCGGATTCATTGGGAGACAAACCCTCAGAAGTTATCTTGCCATTGGCCTCATAAACCAAGTAAGCCTAGAATCCCCAGCTCTGAAAGCTGCTTGGAACCTGCCTGAAACCCTCGTCGTACATACGGTGTGTCTTGTCAAAATGATCGCATTCTAGACAGATCTAGCTACCATGGGATCTGCTCTAAAAGAAGCCTTGGCCCCCATTTTACCCAAATTTGCCAGTCCCAATTGTTTGAGTCACCTCCGCCCCCCACCCCCCCACCCCCCCGTTTTGCAGGCCTCAAACAGGGTCCCTAAAAGGATACATCCAGACGCCACCTGCTAAAAGCTCTCAAAAGACTTGTGTGAGTGGTCCTGGCACCATTCAAGGACTCCTGTGAAAGGCAAATCAACTCACCGCCCAAATTCCTCGCCGGCGCCCCGTTTTGAGACACGTCCAGGACGCTCCGCCGCCGCCTCCGGGCGCCTCGGCAGCTCCTGAGGCCCGCAGGCCCAGTTGAGTGATTCAGGCTCAAGGTCGGTTGACGCACAACGAAGATGGCAATGGCAATAAGAAAAACAAGCACCTTACAACAGTAGCATGGTAACAATAGGATCAATGGTAAGAATAGTAATAAACAGTGGTAGAACAGCAATAGAAACAATAGTAACAATGGCAACAATAGTGATAAATAGTGGTAGTGATGCTAAGAATGGTGTACTGACAATCGGGTGCACATCTCGTTATGGGCTCTGGGTGACTTGCAGAAAGCACCGGGCAGGAATATGGCGAAATGTCTGTGAAAACAACCTTGATCATGAGGTCGCAGCAGGCTTTGTTGCGAGGCCATAAACGGGTGGCCATAAACGTGCCCAAGCGGCTGCGGGAAGGGTATCTGGGCAGAAGCGGGCTTAAAGCCCGAAACCGAGGCGGTGGGGGGGAGGAGGGGGGATGTTGGAATGTTTGGGCAGCCAGAATCCATTCTGAAAGACGGGCATCAGCCTATGTTTTTCATTTAAGACGGGCATGAACCTATGCGTTATAGATAAAACGGGCAACCTATGCTTTACATATCACCCTAAGGGGATGGCATCCTATGCTGCACATGTCACTCTACGTGGTGCCCTCGTGGTGGCCACTCCCAGGGCATCTAAGTTTTGGCCTGGTGGGTGTAAGGCCCCGATGTCGCAATCCCACGTCCCAAAATCGGGTGTTGAAAACTCCCGCGGAAATGTTCACGCGTCCATCTGGTGATTCACATCGGCAACTGGCCATGTCCGACCAGCTCTGGGATGTCAGGGAGAGAGTGCGGAGATATCATTCACAAACGAGAAATAAGTCATCTCAGGAGCCTTCATGGCTGAGCTCTTTTTGCCCCCAAGGACATCTTAAAGGAACCCTGAACATACTGCGTCTGGACATACTGCGTCAGCATCCCCGTCCCCTCCTACAGGCTTCATAGAGACCCACGAGTAAAAATTCCACAGGAAATGGTCGGCTTCTGTATCTTCCCATTTTGGGGTGTCCCGGTTCAAACTTCCTTGTGCTGGGTTCTACGCCGGGTTGTCCTGAAATGACACAAGAACCCAGACCTTATTGCAACACTTCATCTGCTTGACCCTCAGGGTGTGCTCACCCTGGCACATCGGTAGAACATCCCCTGCAAAGAGGAACTCAAGCCAAAGTGCTTGCAGGCATCGACGTTTACAGGCTGGAAGCAAACCTGCTGTAGGTCCTCTTCGACGATCATGCTACGTCAATGGCTCTTCGTCTGTGGGGTCAGGGCAGCAGGGCGTTCAACTTGTTCCCTGCTGCCCTTTTCATTTTTGTCAGAGCGCCGACCATTCAAATCAGAGAGATTGAGATGTAGATTAAGAGGATTAGCAGGGTCCATAGTTGCAGATGTTGTTAGACGGTACCCTTGACTGTTTTTGGGGGGCGGACCCCCACAGATTCTACAGGGCACATCATGTCACCGTACGTCCAAAATATTGGAACCTTGGTCACTCAGAAGTATATGGATACATTTCAACACTTGCTGTTGAGCGTGGTCTTTGTTTAGTGAGTCCCTTTCTTTCTGGACCTCCCCCCGGATGAACAAGTGCAAAACTGGGTTCATCAGGGTTCGCTTTGCAAACACCTATATCGTGTTCACCTAGGATTGAAGAAAAAAAACAAAACAGGTTGATGCTTAGGGGGTGCCCCAAGGAAACCTTCATTTTGAGGGGGAACACCTAAGAAAGCGAGTTCTACCCAAATCCCGCATCGTTACCATGCCCTTTCTCCCCACTCCGCCTGCAACCACTTGGCGTTTTCAGCCTGGCGACCCGGGCATGCACGAAGGCCCCAAGGACTTTCGACCACTTGTTGATACAGCAAGTGTATACAACTGTATCAGGGATCCTTGCATTATACACCTGAACATTGCAACTTGCAAATAGTTTCCCTGTATTTTGGTGTTGAAAAAGCCATGTTTCAAATGGGGAAAATGTATCTTTGAAGGAGCCCTGTATATAACAGCTAGTTGGTTGGAACCTTCCGGAGTACATGGTCAGGTACATTGGCTCCGACGCTGTGCTTGCTTAAAGGCTATGTCAAGATATGACAGTTGCGCCGCGAGTCAAGCTTCTTGTGGGTCATGGCAATGTAGGAACCTTCAAATTGCCTACTGCACAGTCCCAGGTCGATTCCCTACCCAACGGGCCAAAACAGGTGTCACATGACCACGGCACCCATGCACCACAGTACAACCAAAGCACATGGGCCAAGCGTCCTTGACAATTCAAATACAGGCAGCGCCAAGGAAAATCGCTGCCTCCTGGCTTTGCGCCTCTCAGTTCTGAAACTGAAATCAAAGATTGCGGTTGACATCCGTTGCCTCAGGACACTTTGGGACTTTGGGTTCCTTGCCGTGGTTGTCCAAAAGGTGTCCCTTTTGATACTTGTCAGGAAGCACCAAATCGCCGAACCCAAACCTGGAGCTGTCAGTCGTCAGGGCCCCCGGCCTCGCGCAAGGCCGTGCAGAGCCGGCGCACCTGAACCACGATCTCCAAGGGGATTGACTTTTGCGATGTCCAACCAGAACACACATATGTGATCATATGTGGGTCAAAATTAAACCACCAGGAATTGGACCGCAGGTTTTAGTCCATGTTTACATCTACCAGGGGTCCATTTTGGGTACCTATTCTTGACCCACAGCCATATCTTAGACTCTGGAATCTCCTGAAAGGATGCCCTTTAGTTTCAAGCAAGGGGATCAACTGGTAAACCTTGGAACCATCCCAGAAATCGACTTCAGATTCGGCAAGCAAAGGGATGCGCCATGGATAACTTCCTTGGCACACCAAACATAAGCAGGTGGCAAACTGGAGGCCCCTTTCTGGATACCGACAGAGGCAGTACTGTATCACTTGCCACAAAAAAGCGGCCTGCCCAAAACCAACAGCCGAAAGGACGGCAATCCCTGCCTCGTGCATGTTCAACCCTCTCTCATTTGTCATTCATGGTTCGCATGGGCGGCTTGTTTGGGGGAGACCCCTGCTGGATCTGTCGCCACAAAGGAGGGATCCCGCTAGGCCTCCTCTGCCCGAAACCAAACGAATTGACCCTTCGACCATACAGGGAGACTTGGAGAACTCGCCGCCAAGATGTGCATGACTCCCTGAGTGGAGACACAGACCTGCAACTGCCTCATAGGGGTATACAAGGCTATATACTCCCCTACAGATTAACATGGAACACAAAAAACAACGAGCCCTTTTGGGTTCTGTGTTAATTTGTAGGGGAGTATGGCAGGTGCTTTTTGAAGGTACCCTTTTCAGGTCAGTCTTGAAGGGACACCAAACGAAGCCAACCATTTTGAAAGCTCCCCTGTTTTGACACAAACTGATATCCTAACCCACATTTGGAGTACTCCAAAACGAATACATACATACATGCACACTTACATGTATATATATATAAATATGGTCACACACACACACACACCATGGACTACATGTAGGGCCATTGCGTTCATGCCACCCTTCAAAAACACTGGTATTTACAGTGTGGGTGTACGTGTTGTTGTGTACAACTGTAAGGAAATACTAGGCCAAATTTTGGTCTGCAACAAAGTGTTTCTCAGAAGTTGAAACAAAAAATGCTGTGGTTTAATTTGGTTGCTGCCAAAGTGTAAAACATAGCCCATTGTTTTTGTTGTTTTGACTACAAACAGCCATCAAATGCCTCAGCCAAAAGAACACACACTGAAAAGGAAACTCTGTGTTCAAAATGCAGTGTTTGCTCTCCCTTCATTACTGAATTGGTTTAGCTTTATCTCCTCTTTTGCTCCTGAATTCTTGTTAGCAAAGGCGAGGATACCACAACTCTTGCTGGATTTGTTTCGCTGCATCTTCTTACTCATAGAAAAACACTTCAGGAAAACAAACAATCTGGGTTTTGGTTTTTGGAGCTTTTGGAGCCAAAACACCAAGAGGTGTTTGCTTTTTCATGCCCCGTACTCATCACAAGCCAACAAACCATGCGTTTTATTTTGGTCTTTCAGCTCCAAAGGTTCAAAGCAAAAACACGAGGAAATTTGAAAAAAAAACAAAAACACCTCGAGAAAACTAGAAAACGAAAATCTGAGGCCAAGCCAGCCATTCTCTTGGTTGTTTGGGTTTTTGTTTTCTCCAGGTTGTTTTTGCTTTTTAGCTTTTTTGGGTTTCCTCGAGTTCTTTTGCTTTTTGCTCTCGGGGCCTTGGTCAGCTTATTGAAAGAGGAAAGACAGTGATGGCGCTGACTCAGCACAGCAGCTCGCTCAGGGCCAGGACCGCTCACTATTTTGCCGTTCAGATCGCAATGTCAGAAGGCTTTTGCGAATTGGCACTCCTGCTTGCCGCCTATGCCTACAAGCCATCCCTCCGCAAACATGTCTTCATGTACCATGGAGAGTTCTCAGGGCCCCAAGACATTTGGCAAACAACTTTGGAGTCTGAGCTGCTCCAATAGCTGCCATACTGTGAGTTGATGCGGAGGCTTCTTCATCCGGTTTAGCTCTCTCACTCTTCCTCGCCCATTCCTCGTCACTTCTTCATCACTTCCTCGTCATTTCCTCGTGACTTCTTCCTCATCACATCCTCGTCACTTCCTCATCACTGACACGGGTGCAGATGCCTATATATGTTGTTCGGACAAGTTGATACTTGGTGGGTGCACACACAAATGAGCAAATGATCCTTCAGACCTGGTTGAATCAGACAAAATGTAGTTCATAGGGGTGGTGGTGAGCTTATATATATATATATATATACATGTTTCAGAATTGGTGTACCCTAAACTATAAACTACTTTTGGAGGAGACCCCGATATAACCGTGCATGACTCATATGCACGTTACATTACACTACATTACACTACACTACACCTCATCTACATTACACTGCATAAGATTACATTGTACTATGTTGTATCATATCATGTCAAAAGCAGAGTCGGAATATGTTCTTGTTTCATATGTCTAATTCTACTCATACCGTGGATGGACGAAATCCTTCACCGCCTAAGAACCCCCTGGAATGATGATTCTCCTGAAAATACCAACAAACGATATGGTGTCCCATGGTTCTTAAATGGTGCGAAATGGATTTCGTCCATCCACTGTATTGTATTGGCTGCGGATCCAAAATAGGTACCCAAAATGGATCCCTGGCAAATGGAAACATGGCCCAAAACCTGCGGTCCCCTGTTGGTTTAACTTTGAAACTCGGAGTCGGCATATCTTGTTTGCTTTATATGTCTAAATTTCCAATCATAGTATATGCATCTGTTAATATCATCTGGGTATTTTTTTAAAGATATGGGTCATCATAGTATATGTATCTGCTACTCATACTCTCTGTCAAAAATTCCGGGGAAGTCCGCTGGGTATTTTTTTATATCTGCTATGGGCCCAAGGCCAAAACCGCGCCGCCGCCCGCCGCCCGCCGCCAGCCGCGCCTCCGCCTGGTAGCGGCGCGCCTTCCCATGCTCCGCGAAGAGCGCTGCCTGAAGCGCGGAGCCCGCGCGCGAAGCGCGCCGCGACGCTCGCGCCGCCGCGGCTGAGTTTCGGCCCTGGGGTTTGTTCAGCTTCCCAAGTGGTGCCAGAAATGCTGCCTTGAAAAGGTTTGCGAGTTTGGAAGGGAACCGATGGCACATCCATTTTCAGCTTCGAAGTGCCTTGAAAAGGGGGGTTGTGGTTTGTGAAGGGAGAGATCTCGATTTTTGTGGGCGAGTTTGGAAGGGAAACGATGGCGCAGCCATTCGGCTTCCCTCTAATTGGTGGTTTGGAGCCCAGTGGTTTGGCGGCTTGGTGGTTGGTGGAGGGTTTCCCATTTAAGCCTCTACAAAAGCCGGTTCAAACCCCCCAACCACCAATCCAAACCACAAGTACCTGATTGCACCCCAAATCACGTGTTTTCCCGAGAAAAACAAAAGTGGCTTCCGGAAAATGGATCCGCTTTTTCCGAGGGTTCCCACACAGTACACAAAAGATGGTCCCTGGAAAAAGACACTCCCTCTTGGCAGGGTCCGACTCCGACGAGACCCCTCTCAAAACCCATTGTGAACAAAGATGCATCAAAGATGTTGCTGCGGAGACTGTATCATGCGAACTCACAATGAATCCTCCGCTCTTCGGGCCAGCCCACATGAGCATGTCCATTCGAAGTCAAATCTGCCTTCCCCGATCTGAATGTAGGAAAATCTCACACCATAGGTTAAATTTTCTTTGGAGGGGGTAAGCTGCGAGGGAGTAAAAGGGGATGAGGGATTTGGACCCCAAATAGGCGGCTTTCCTTTCAATCTCCCTTTCAACCTGAATCAATACACGTCAGATATTGTGAGGAAAGCAGTTCCCCCTGGCCAGTGGGGCACACATTCTTTTTCAACACGAACCATGGCCTTTGTCTTCTTCTTTTCTTTTGTGCGATGTTCTTGTCTTTTTGCGGGGGGATTGTTCACTTGACCCAAGCGAATTGGAGGCCTTCCTGACTTCACATATGTATGTTGCTTGTGTCTGGAGCTTGATCAAAATTCCGAATTGTCCAGAAACGGCCCTGGTGAAGGGTCTGTCAAGCACCTGACTTCCCTCCCATCACCCAGATCTATGCGAATGCTCACCAAATTCAGGGACTCCTTCAAATGGGCTGTTTACCATGCGAAACAATCCCACAAAGCGGGCGCAACTCCCTCTGAAGCAGATGGGACTCAGGCGGAAGGGAAACGGCAAAAAGGCAACTGTGCCGTTTTCAAGTGTCCCCGAAGTTTGCGCCACCCTTCTTTTTTGACTGCCCGGATTCAAAGGCAAATCAAGCGGGGGGGAAAAAGAAAGAAAAAAAAACGTCAACGTCCCCAGCGAGCTTGTGACCCTACTCCTCCTCACCTCTCGCGATTGCCCGCGCCTCGAGCCTTTGTGCTGCAACGGCCGCATCCTCACCTATCCACGGAGACCCCAAAAACCCACCTGGGAGATTCTCAAAATGGCGCACTTTGCTTCCCAGGGTTTGGACCCATTGTCTCCAAGGATCCCCGAATGGGGAGGGTATGGCTTGATCTGTGCCGAGTCAGACTCCTTCAAAAGGAGGGGTCAAAACCACTCAGTTCCCTGTGGACTCAAGCAATCGCAACCGTGTTCCTTTTCAAGAGCTATCATGTTTCTTTTCACCAAAGAGGGCCCCTAGTTTTGCCATTTCCTGCGTGTCAAATATGAGATAGAAACTTGGATGCTATGAAGATACACAGAGAGGAGATAGAAAAGGCATGCTCATTCATCTCTGTCCGCTTTCTCGCTCGCATCTTCTGGCATTGCTGTTGGTTGAATATGAACGAAAATTATAGGTGCATTGGAAAGTGAGAGTTCACGCGAAGTCCTTCGAGAGCGAACAATTGGGTCCGCGGATGCATTCTAGTGGAAGCAATGGCATTTGAGCAGAGGTTGCCCATGGGCAAAGGCAAATTGGGTCAGATCCAAGTCTTCTTTTGTATTGATGGTCCAGAAACATATTCGCTTGTATTGTAACTCTTGCAATGTTCTTCTGCATTTGTGTTCACCCTTAACTTGTATGGCTTAATGTTTAGTACGTACGTATGTCTTATCGCTTTACTTGTTGTCAATCTCAATGAGAGAAGATGTACATCTAAGTCTGTATTTCTCACTTTATTGTTGTCGTCTTAGCACGTTTTTATGTGTTTAGATTCCTGTGTTCTAGTATAGCATCTTGTGTATATGTCTATCTCTATTCCAAGCTTCTGAATGCAATGCTGCCCTCGGTCACAATCCCTGATTCTAAGATTTTGTAGTTTTGGCAGAAAGCTGAACATGAAGGATAGAAACGATGGAAAGACTACGGGATAGAAATAGCAAAATGGAACGCCAACTCATCTTGATGTCCACTGATGTCGGGTTCTTCTTAAACATGCTAGAGGTAGCCTTGCTATTTGTTTGTGTGTATTGGTTCGTCATAGTATATTGGTAACATTATAGGTATAACATGTCCACACTCGTTCAGCGCGATGTGTATATGACTATCACTGTAAACAACTGTTGGTATCTACGCGTATTGTGAATCCCGGAAATTTTATAGCTCCGTGATATTATTGTTAAGCATCGTTATTTTTCTAGGTTTGCTGTTGGGTTTGATTGTAGAAGCTAGCCTGTATCTAGCAAATAAGAAATGATTCTATGCTGGAGTTGGTCTTTGCCCCCCCCCCCCTGGAGCACTATCGTGAAAAAGAGATAGAGAAGATTCAAGAATATAAGCAATTTAATAAGAATTCTAATTATTCAAATAATAATGATGCTGAATAAATCACAAATGCCAAGACGGAGAAGCTATCATTTGTTCAAAGCCTATCAAGATGAGGCACCTCAGACACCACCGAGAATCCCGCGTACCCGCTGAAGGGCCTCGTGGCTTGCGTATTGACTCCCCACCCGAAAAGGGGCCATTCTGGGGTCCGATTGGCCCAGAAACCAGGCGGTTCACACCGGGGGCCCAGAGAAAGGTTCATCCTGTGGACGAAATCCATTTCGTACCACCTAAGAAACATGGGAAACCATTGTCTCACTTGCTGAGTGGATGGCCCAAAAAAAGTTCAAACTTTAGATTTACCACTAAAATGGCCTTCCCAAAAAGTTTAAAGTTCATGGACTCAGAAAGTGAGTTGTTTGTTGGTATTTGCAGGGCAACCATTCTTCCAGGGCTTCTGAACGGTGGTGCGAAATGCATTTTGTCCATCCGCAGCATGAAGCCTTTGAAGCGCTCCATCTGCGCAAGCGTAGTAAATCCGCTGCCCAGGTGTTTTCCGCAACAGCAAGCTGAAGGCAGAACGGCTTGGAATGCTTCACTCAAACAAGAAGGCTAGAGGGAACATAAATAGGGCATCTCACATATTCGAACCGTGGGCGATGGGGTTACCTTTCAAGGCTTGAAGCAACAACACCCTTGAAACTTGTTGCAGGCTGCTGTGTCAACCAGCGTTTCTGCAGAACAGTCCAACCAAGACCCAACAAAACACAGACCGTTGAAGCTTTGAAACTGCTGTTCCAAACGGACAAACAAACCGCGCTGACTGCCCAACCCAACGAAGGCTCATGCTACAGCGCAACGCTTTTCTTTCCTGCAGGTCAACAAGGGGAACAAATCAAGAACGCTCCATTTCCCCAGAGAAGATGCCTTTACAACTTGGAATTGGGACGGCACCAGTTTAATCTGCAACAACCGTACCTTAACGTCGTTCCAATTATGCGAGCACCCGAGTTAGGACCGCCTACACTCTTAATTCGGTCAAGGAACGTCATAACTCAAACTGAACGGGAAGAACACCCAAACCAGAAACCTCCCTCACAGGACAAGAAAACAATAAAAAGAGATCCTCCAAAACACCAGCAACTAGAGCAAACAAAAATCAGGAGTCTTCACTTCAAAAAGCTCCGCTTATCCGGTCCTGGGAGCTCCCATGTTTGGGGGAGGGTACACGGGTTCCTCCTCCTGTTCCTGGCAACACGCATCGAGTCGAAGGAAGTTCGGTTCCCCGGCCACAGGCTGCGAGCGCCTGCGGCAAGTTCCGGGCAGCTTGGTCGACGGGCGCTTTGACTGAAGGGAGGCCCCGACCGCGAAGTCCAAAAAAATGGCTCCACTTTGGGCCTTGGACCAGAGAGTCAAATGACTCGGTGGGTAACAAAAACCTGTGAAGAGCTGGTGGTGAAAGGGAAACCCCGATCGCAACGAAGCAAGTTGCCTGATGGCTATCGGATGAGTCTTTCTTTGCTTCGATATCATCTCGGCACGCTCCTCCTGGTTTCCCTTTCCGATATTGGAAAGGTCTTGCAGTTTCTGTAGTAAGGCACCTGGCTCAAATTCCACTCTTCCAGCCAAATGTTTGCAAGGGTGCCTGGAGTCCAGACTTGATTTCATCAAACAGATGTTCGAGGTTCCACGAGCCACAAATTGCCGCTCTTGTCCCACATGAGGGACTACCGGAGCTCGTTGAAGAGACGGTGTCCGGCTATCTTTCAATTCCGTCAAAGTCCCCGAATTCTGACCACGAGGTGAACAAAGCTGCTTTGGAGGGGGTCACCTTTGTTCTTAGGCAACGAGGGCTGCACGGTGGTACCACAACAACGAACTCGACTTCTCGGGCTTAGAATAGATTGGCGTGGAGATTTGGTCCATCAACTTGCTACAGTCAGAGCCAGCAAATGACGGACAATCTTACCCATAACACATGTAGAATTCGATGTGCGCACACTAAGGGGCTCTATCGGGCAGCGGAGGCATGGTGTCTAGAGTCTAGACCACGCTCATTTCGACTACGCAGGCTCGCGCAAAAGTACCCCTGGAATGCTCAATCTTGATTTTGACTGCGCACGTTCGTGCAGTGGAGACAGCTGTTATCGAACAACGTCCTGCGTGCCGTGTCCGGCTTCCGAGGCAGGCGCAGAGGGTCAGAAACACATCATTTGGCGTGGCAAGCGCAACAAGTTCTCTTGGACTGTGAGACTCTTGTCATTTTCGGGCTTCGTGCGTATTGAAGCGCGGTGCTCGTTGCGTCGCTGTGCTGATTCTGATATCGCTAGTGGATTTTGTTTATAAATTCGAGCTTGCTTGCGGTGTTTATTCATGTGGAGCCTTGGAGACGCCCTTGCTTCATTTAGTGCTAGGACAAATGTGACCTGCCTGGGGCCAATTGTACTATTCACCCAATCACAAATATCATGCTGACACTACTTCGCATATCACAAGAGCACTGAAGCGAATCCGAGAGGTGCCCCAAGCGCGGCTGCAGCCCGGGCCCGCCTTCCGCAGCAGCTCGGCGGCCGCGGCCTGCGGAAAGCGCTTTCGGAGGTTTTGAGTTTGGCCGCGACCCGCGGGCAATACGGGTATGGCTCAACATTAACTAACCAGCCCGCAGGGTTTAGTCTTCTCCATTGACCAGGGCAACCCATTTTGGGCACTTTTTCTTGACCCACCGCCATACCTCGAAGCAACGTCCGCTGTGATTTCGGGGCCAGACGTGTTCCCTTGCTCCCTTGGCGAAGATGGGTGCGGCTCCTTTTGGACTGTTTGAGGGGTTGCAGCAAGCGAAGATGGGCGCAGTTCAACTTTGGTCATTGTGCGGTTGGGGACTTGAAAAAAGAAATCGAAGGGAAGCCCACTTGGGGAATTTCCCTATTGAGAGACAGCCCCATGTTTGGCTAGAACATCTTCAAAATGAGCGGGTGGACATAAATCCCCAGGTTAGACCGATAGTTACCTTCTGGCCAGTCACACAGGAAGAACCTGGAAGATAGAAGGGCCTGCAAAAAAGAGAACGTTCGAGCTCTGAGACTGAGACGGCCCGCAGCCTTGTCTTGACCAATGGCTCTGATTATACCACCGCAGCCATGGAGCTAATGAAACCTGTGACTAGGGTCCTATTATTCTGTTTCCGGGAGCACCCTGCACTGTTGCATTTCCTGACATACAGCCCTCTCCTTGCGGGATCAGACCCGTGAAATCAAACTCTGCTTCATGGTTTTGGGAGACAAAACACACAAACATCCCCCGGTTGCTTTTCCCAACCCCTGTGCCCCACAGCCCGATGAAGCTCGGAAATTTAAAAGCAAGACTGCACAAGAATGGGTAGGTGTTTTTTGTTTTCTTCGGGACCCCCAGCAATGGTGTATCTCTCTTGGTTTCCGGTTAAAACCACAAAAAGGGGGCACCCTCGAAAAAGACAGACATATGTGTACATATATATATATATATACATATGTATATATATATATACATACAGTATATGAACTGGCAGACCCCAACCAGCGAGATATGCCACTCAATAGTTCGAGGTTGCCGGCCAGGGGGCATTCTCTTTTTGGGGGGCAGAAGCCAACATTGTCGGGAGATTCGAAGTGATCTTGAGTTATTTGCCCACTTCAGGCCTTCCGACTTTGGCCTAGGCAGACCCAAAGTAGCAGCACAAGTGGGGTTTTGAAGGAAACACCAATAGAACTAACCGATCTCCTCGCGGAAACACGTGGGTTGTCGGTCAGCCCTGTTGCTGGTGAGGGGTTCATGTTCACTCCAGGTTTCAGTGAAACCTGATGCGGATTTGATCAACTCCTCCAAAAGAGATCCTGATTCCCTCCAAAAATGGCTTGCAACCCTCCTCATTAATCAACCAGGGGGTGATCAGTCCTAGGTCAAGATTACAAGCGAGGTCCCTTTAAACAAACTGGCTTTCACCCAACAATTGTCCTCCATACTGTGGACGGACGAAACTTTGAAACCATGGGAAACAATGGTTTCTCGGTATTTATAGGGGAATTCTCATTTCAGGGTTTCTTAGGTGGTGCAGCATTTCGTGCATCCACAGTATCTCAAAAAGCAAGACCTGAAGATGGTGCAGAAAGAACCAAACCAAACTTTGCGTGAATTCGCCTAGGGCCCGCGCCCGCGCTCGCTGGCCCTCATCTTTGCTGGCCTGACCAGGGATCCTAGAAATCACCCGCCCCTAAACAAACAAACAAATAAACAAACCGACAAACAAATAAACAAACCGACAAACAAATAAACAAACAAACAAGCAAACAAGCAAACCAACAAGCAATCGAACACTCTGCTGAGGTCATAGTTGGCATTGGTTGCCGTTGCTTGGCCTCAAGCTTCAAGTTGCGTTTTAAAGGCTTTTCATCCGCTTGATCATGGTGGATCTCAATTCGCAAGCCGCAATTGTCGGGGCCAGCCTTGGGGCAATCTGTTTAGTTCACAAACGCGGTATACTTGCCTGATACTTGTCTGACCAGTCAGGAGTTGCCTTTCAGCTGTGATCCAGGACGTTTGCACCTGTCAAGTGTACCAACCTGCCACCCCCACGTCACTTTGGCAACCTCAAACGCATTTTGTTGGACACCCCAAATGGATCGTCAAATCGCCTTTGCAACACGGTCACGTTCTCTTTGTCGGAATCCGCATGATGATCCTTTCGATGATTGTCGAAGATCCCTACCAAATGCTTCATGACCATCCCCATCATCCCCATGATCCCCAACAAATCTGGTCTCTTGAGCATAGCAATTGTGGGGTGGATAAGAGAACACCCACAAACCACCCATGAAGACAAGACCCCACACACAGGTAAAGGCGTACGTGGCCTTATTTGACCCTAGCAGGTGGTGGGGTTAACAAAATTAAGGCGGTCATCTTCAGGATCGGACCGTGTTGGAATTCCTTCCGACACGTTTCGTCCACTGGCACACCTTGCTGGTCGAACGAACGCGGGAACACTTGAAAGTCAAAACAACAAATATACTATACCGTGTATACCATCATACTCATTCATGTTCGGCATGCAGAATATCAGAACACCGTCTCTCTTTTTTGGATAACGTCTTCACCCGAATCTTCAACGTTCAAATTTGGCATGATGATGCTACCCCCAGTCAAAGGGATAGACAGCATTCCCGAGCCCGGATCCAAATCTACAAATATCGATTGAGTCGGCAAATTTGCGAAGGAACTGAATCCCAAAGGCTCTCAACATCGACTCCACAGGACTGGGGTTGCATTCCCGTATCCATTGGGGCATTTGCACATTCTTGGCTCAGTATTCAAAGAGCAGACCCGCGGGTTGTTCGAGGAACCCTTTACACCAAAGGTGTATTTAAAAATGATTACATGCCTCATGTTGACAATTCTCGCGTACCCCATAGGTTGACTGCCACCAGGTTGGATGCCTGGGAGAACCCTAAAAAGGCAAACTTCGGGCGTCCCATGTTTATCTGGGGAACAAAATCAGCTCCGCACTAGTTGGGAGGGATAAACTCGATTTGAATACTGGGATAAACCAGCTGCCAAGTGATGCGTGGATTCCGTCCATCCACTCACTTGGCACATGCGAGCACCGGGTACGATTGGTACAAACGTGGAGATTTGCCAAGAAATGGGCGACCAACAAAAACGATGAATTCTGTGCCGACTGCTTGTCACTATCTCTCCCTTGGAGGGGTAACCTTTGAGGGGCCCTATTCCAAGTCCTCCGAAAGAATTCGCCTTGGATTCCTTCGCCGCATCCAGGTCCAAGGTCTGCCACACCTTCCGAACCCCCGCGCCGGGAAAAAAAAAAACGTCCCAAGCTTTCCTTCAAGGTGCCACTCAAAAACTGTCAAGAGACGGCAAGGTGACGTCCCGTGGGACGCTGTACACCGAACCCTCCAGCTGTAATACCAACCACGTAGAAAGGTGTATACGGTCAAAGCCGTTATAGCCGAACCCGTGTAAATGTTGTAAGGGAGAAGGAATAATAGTTACAACAGTGGTCCTGACAAATGCAGCGCAAGCGAAGTGTTTTCCGCTCTCAATTGCCGATCACGTATGAACGCAGCTACACATAAGATCTTGAACCTCACTTGTGTCTTGAGCCAAATGGCAATCAATGGAACCTGGTAAGCAACACAAACACGGACCTCAGAACAGCTTCCCAATTTAGGCACGGGGCCAGGAGGGTTTTAACATCCCCCATTTGGGTCGCATCGTTCATCATGCGGTCCAAACACCACAAAACGTTCCACTGGCCACGGCTTCAGCTACGAAACTGTGTCGAACACTCTTTCACTCGCTATCGCTACACCGTTCATTCATTGTGAAACCTGCCGGGTTCGATTGAAAATGAAACATGCATCCGCAAATCGTAGCACATTCCCATATGCAGGTGTAATGTATACACTATCGTCACGTCATTTTACAACCATTGAACATCCCAGCTGCCGCATTTGCGCATCGCGCAGCCGTCATCCACAGAAATGGGTTGGCCATAGAAGTTCAACAGAAGCGCCTGCTCGTAAGCAATCTGCATATCACCGGCAAAGAAATATCGGTGAGCAATCAATGCAAAACATAGCCATTCCAGGTACCATGAATAATATATATATAATGAAAAGGAAATCATCCATGAGGTAATAGTCCCATCCATGAATATCCGGAATGTCATAGCCGTCGGAATATGTAAATGTATACACATCCATTCATCTTGGACGCATGAAATCATATCATGATGTAGATTTGTTCCATCGCAATACATTTGATGAGACGCAAGCAACAGACGGGGACTAGCCCACATCGTGCCGCAATCAACATCTGCATTACGCATACCTGTCTCCAATGGACAGTCTGTGGGTACGTCGACGGAACTCTTCGTCCAAATTCTTTTGGGCTTCTCGTGCCCGGACACACTTCTTGTGATGATCTTCTGGTATCCAATGCCCCATTCGGAGGCACCAATCCAGCAGAGGTGTGTCGCATTTATTCGGGTCAGTGGCCGCAATAATGGCGCTCACATTTACCGAATAACCATATTTGCCAAGGTTCAGGCCATCCCTCACGAACGATATATACTTACAGTTGAAAGCCAGGGAAAAGCATCTGTAAATAATATCACCCACCGGGTGCACACGATCCTTGACCAGGAGCTTCATTTCGTCCTTGGTGACGTCGAGGATTCTTGCTGCAATCCACAGCTTGTAGAATATGTATAGCCCCTCGCACTTGTATACCATCAGACGAATGTATTCATTACGCTCCTCAGCCGACCGGAAAACCCTTGTTCGGACGTTCTGAGATTGAGAAATCTTCAGTACCGTCGATGGCAAAAGGATCCCTTCCTGATCGTGTTCAGTCATGTTGGGGTACTTCATGAAGTCGTTGTGGTATGGGCAGCCTGGCTTCCCTTCGAGCGCGGCATCCATCGTTCTCTTTTCACCACCTTCGAACATCCCCCACATCTTTGACATCTGTAGCGCGATGAATCCCGCCATGTATTGAGCTTCGCGCGGCTCATCAAGGCAAATCGCCATCCGCTGGGTATTTATAATATCCCGTGATGCCAAGTCATTGTCGCGGTATTGCCAACCGCCATCTTCCTCCTCAGACATGTAGCCGGATGTATACCCTTGCGTGTCCATGTCGTCTTCTTCAGGAACTTCCTCCGCCTCATCATCCT